AAGTCTGTATCTATTTTTTCACTGATGATCTTTATAGTTCTAAGTTTTCCATTTAGGTCTTTGATCTACCTTGTTTGTTTTTGTATATGGTGTGAGATATGGGTCCTGTTTAATTTTTCTACAAATGGATATCCAGTTTTGTCAGCAGCATTTGTCAAAAAAACTATCTCTTCCACATTTAATGCATTTCAACCCTTTGTAAAAGATCAACTGTCCATAGGTGGATGGATTTACTTCTAACTTCTCAATTCTGTTCCTTTGGTCTAGGTATCTGTCATTGTACCAGTACCAAGCTGCTTAGAATACTATGGCTATATAGAAGGTTTGAGATCAGGAAGTGAGAGGCCTCTTATTTTGTTCTACATTTACAGTAGTACTTTGCCTATCCAGGGTCTCTTTCATTTCCATATAAGGTTGGTGATTCTTTTTTCTAGCTCTTTAAATAATGATGTTGGAATCTGGATTGGGATTGCATTATATATGTTTTGGGTAGTAGTAGCATTTTCACAATGTTAAGTCTTCCTGTCCATGTTGTTAAGTGCCATCAAGTCGGTTCAACTCACAGTGACCCTGCATAGGATTTCTGAGGAGCAGCTGGTGAGTTTTCCATGAGCATGGTATATTCTTCCATTAATGTAGGTCTCTTTTGCTTTCTTGTAGTAGTGTTTTATAGTTTTGTTTATATAGATCTTTTGTTTCTCTGGTTAGACTTATTCCTAAGTATTTCATCTTTGGGGTGGCTATTGTAAATGGTATTGCTTTCCTGACTTCCTTTTCCCAGAGTCCCTTTATTTGTGTAAAGGAATATGGATTTTTGTATTTTTGTCTTAGACGTACCTTGCCACTTTGCTGAATATTTCAATTAGTTCCAATTATTTTCTTGCTGAGTCTTTGGGATTTTCTATTTGTAATATCAAATCATCTTCAAATAGATATTTACTTCTTCTTGGCCAGTTTGGATCTCTTTAATTTCTATTTCTTGCTTTATAGCTCTAAGTAAGAAGTGGTGACAAAGAGCATCTTTATCTGGTTCCCATTTTCAAGGGGAATGATTTCAGTTTCTCCCCACTGAGATTAATGTTGGTTGTTAGATTTACATATATGTCTTTAATAATGTTAAAAAATATTACCCTTCCATTCCTATTTTGTGGTGCATTTTTATCAGTAATGAGTGTTGGATTTTGTCAAATGCCCTTTCTGCATTGATAATATGCTAATGTGTTTCTTTTCATTGATTTTACTTATATCTATTTATTTTTTTAAGTTTCTCTCAAAATTATTCTGATGTTTTGCATTGTAGAGGACTTGAACGTATTATAAATTTATTATAAATGGAATTTAAAAGTTTTCATTTTCTAAATATTTGTTGTGATTACATAAAAATACACTTAGTTTTTTTCATATTAACCTAGTGACCTAAAACCTTGCTGAATTCATATTTTAGTTCCAATAGGTTGCTGAGATTTTTCAGTTTCTAAGTCCTAGTGTGGCACTGTAAGATAAAGTATTGGACAGCAAGTCAACTTGAACCAGTGTTTCAAACCTACCAGCCACTCCTCATAAACCCTATACAGGGTGGCTATGACTTGGAACCGACTCGACGGCACTTAACAACTCAGTAGAAATAGTTTTATTCTTTTGTTTCAGACTGTTGGGTTGGGTTGGGTTTTTCCAAGTCTTATTTTATGGCTAGGACTGTGTATCTCTCTTTGGATTTATGCAAGCTTCCAACCAGTTCATTCCAGCTTGAACCCCTGCTGAGAATTTGGGTTTCCAACCCAGATACACTAAATTAGGATCTACATTTTAATCAGAACTCTAAGAACCACCAGGGAATCTTGTTAAACTGCAGATTTGGATTCTGTAAGTCTAGGATGGAAGTGCAATTCTCAGAAGAATGACCCAGTCAGAAGCTCTGACTTTGTTGCATTCAAAAGGACCAAGAAAGTTTTAGCCATGATAGCAATGACAGTACTACTAGTACGCTCTTAGTATAACACTGCTGTTATAAGTGCCTTTGAGTTGGTTCCCAGGAACAGTGACCCTGTACAGGGTTTCCGAGGAGTGGCTGCTGGATTTGAACTGCCAGTCTTACAATGAGCAGTCCAATCTTTATTGTACAGACAACTCAAAATTAAATAAATGTGCATCTGTGCAAGCAAATTAGTTCAAGTGGATTCTAACTTAAAAAGCTAAGGAACTCTAGTAGCATAGTGGTTACAAGTTGGACTGCTAACCTCAAGGTCAGCGGTTCCAAACTACCAGCCGTTCCGCAGGAGAAAGACAAGACTTTCTGCTACTGTAAAGATTCACAGCCTCAGAAACCCTATGTTGTTGTTGTTGTCAGGTGCCATCGAGTCGGAACCGACTCATAGCGACCCCATGCACAGCAGAACGAAACAATGTCCGATCCTGGGCCAACC